TTGCGGAAACTTTTGTACGATGAAAGTTCTCTGTTGGGAGATTGTGTCTTTTAATATTTCACTTTTGAAATATTTCCAAAAATGTATTTCTGACAAGTCTTCGAATTCTGTGTAATGTGTGGATAAATTTTTTTTTAGAAGAGACCACTATTTCTACAAAAAAAAAAAAAAAAAAAAATTCCGGTCTTCCGAAGGGTGTAAGAAATTAATTTAACATTTAACTGATTAAGGGGCAACGTTATTGCAGCATCTCATTTGTTATTCTGTTCAACAAAATTACAAAGAGAAATCCCAAAGATTCGTTTAATATTTCTATTTCGATCAAATTCCATTTTCTTAATTGACAAAGCTATAAAGAGAAGTCCCAAATATTCCTTTATCATTTATGCTTTCCATCTCATTTATGATTCCAGAATTTCCAAAAGTCCAAAGAAATACGAGATTTGCTTGGTGCTTGAGCCTTGGATTCGAGATCGTCACTTCCTATTCCATAAAATTAAAAATTCCTCTTTCTGCCCATCGTTTACTCGAATTTCATTCAACGAAACTCACGCATCGCAAGAAAAAAATGTCATACACAGACAGAACACTTGACACGTGCCGGTAATTATGAAAGTGGTCTAAGTCAAGAATAAAAAAAAAAATGAGTTTATCAGTTTAACATTCGCGTCACATTTTTTGAAAATAAAATAATCTGACGTAATTTCTAAGAAGCTGTAAAAATAAGAACCTCAAAGTTAACATTCAGAAACTCATTTCCAAGAAAATGAGAAGAAAATCAATGATGAAAATTAATTTAACATTACAAACATAATTACGAATTAATAAATTTGATTAAAAATTTTTTTTTAATAATAAAATTCGTTGTTTCTCAGTGCTGTAAGACAGTTTCAAGACGTTCGATTAATTTTGAAAATGGTCCGATTGTAAGTCATTTCAAGCTTCAAAAATCATATTTCCTTGTAAGCTACATACAAAATTTCATAGTTGTGACTGTCTCAAGATCTGTAAATATTCTTTGGAATATTTCACAGTATAAAAATATTTTTTAATTTATCCAAACGCAAA